TCGCATAGAAAAAAGAATGGTTCCAAAACCAATAAAAAAAAAGAGCATGTCCAGCGGAGAGTTATATGATACTTTATCCCAACAGACCATGGAAAGGACAACGTAGGACGCAAGATCACTGGAAAGAATAATATTTTCCAACTGACGAAATAACATCCATGCGTTAAAAACATCAGGGTATTCGTTTATTTTATACCTGCCCTTGGTAAATGAGACAGAAGACTCCAATATTGATTGTAAGAAAGGGTATCGGATCATGGCGTTGCGATAGAATCGCACAAAAAAAAAGTTTTTAGACTGCTTATGCAATATATAGCCAATGCCAGCGTTGTACGCTATACGCCAAAAGGCAAATTGAGCGCAAAAAACCCATACTGGTAAAATTTCCTTAGTATAGAGAAACAAAGTGGATCCTATGACTACGAATGAGGCCAGCCAAACTAAATTAACGACAGAAGTCCATCCCTTGAAGGAAGTTAGTGACTGAACAACAGACATTGTTTCTGGGAAATTGAAACGCGTGCCATCCTTGAGGATACCATAGGAAATATTGGAATCGAAAGTCTTGTATGCATCACTGGGGGTAGAAATATCATCCGATCCGCTCTCGTTTTTACTCATCCTCAGGGATCTCGCGTTTTTAGTATATCAGGTGTTAGCTTGAATTCAAGGGAGTTAAATATATGCCAAGTGCATAAAACTACACGATTTTGTTATGGTTATCGAAAGTAGAACTAATGAAAATGCTTGTAAATATTCGAAGAGCAAAGAAAAGGTAAAGAACATTGTCATGGCTATTTTTCATCCGCTAAAAAAATAGAAAATCAAGAAAGTTATAGACCAAGCCTGTGTATTTGTTTAGCTCCTTTCGGATCCTTCTACAATACGATAAATCTTATATTCAATCCTTGATCCTAACAAAATAATCAGAGCGTATAAATATCTTCTATGATTATTTTGACTAGTTTGCCCCAACGAGACCAATGGGTCCCACTGGTTCATCATGTAATGCGGGATGTAATGCCAAAAAGTGTTCTGCATCCACCAAGTCCCGCTTCAACAGGTTCGCGCGTTTACTGATAGAGTCCTGCTCTATACTCCGCAAGAGGAAAGAAGTATCACCGCGATGGTACTTTTTCCCATAGAATAATCGGCAAACCGCAGAGGCCTCTTCAATCGCACAACGCGCATTATCACCGCGCCACTCAAAAGGATCTATTGGAAGCAGCCCATCCCCCAAAACACTAATTTTTGCATGCGCTTTATCGTCTCGAATAGCAGGCGTTGTCCCCGGTAGTGCACATATGTGCTGCATTCGATTCTCACTCGCAAATATTAGATTCCTTAAGTCAGTCGTCAACGTTTCGAGAACATCGGCTTCCCCTTCTATTTTTTTCCTTGCGGTACGTACAAGTCGCCATGAACAACGACATTCATCCATCAACCAAACATGCATAGCAAGGCCTTGACCCACCATGATGGACACGTCATGGTTCGCGCCAAAGATACGCTGGCTCGTTTTGCGGTCAATGTGTGAAACACCTGTATCTACATCAAATAAAACCGTGATACGATCGGGGTCGTGTGCAATGAGCGCGGAGTGGAGCGCTGTTCGTTTGGATGTTGTGATTATCGCCTCCACCGCCGTTCCGAGCCCGTAATCCTTCCTTAGGCACCAGGTATCGGTACCATCGTGACTCTCAAACGCGTCGTAAGCCTCAGACCCCCATATAACCGTTCCTCCAAAACGGAGAAACTCTGTTCGAAGCAGACGCATAAGTAGGCCTTTGCTGCAGTGAAAGGATGCTTCACCAATGGCACATCCAGGAAACGTTGTGCTTTCCTTTAGTACTTCCATCTGACTATTTATAAAACGCCATCCTAGGGCCGGCTTTAAAATGGCGCGCAACTTATTTTCAGTACATCCCAAGTCGATTAAAAGCTTCAGTGTTTGTTCTGTAAGGACACAGCGATGAACCTTGTGTAGTTCATAAGATGGGGTGGGGCGCTTCTCTACTATTGTGACATTTGATTCCCTCCAGCGCATTCCAATACCCATGGTATAGCTTTCTATGGTACTACCAATTGCAAACACATTTCCCCATGGCTTGATAGCGTACATGTGTTCACTTCAAAAAAAAGAAAAATAAACGAATTTACAAAAAATGCCAAAGAGGGAATGAATAGCAGTAGGACATCATTTATCCCAATTCCCATTAGATGAAAAATTTCCCATTCATTTTTGTTATAAACTCCCTCCCTCTCATAGAGTTTGATATGTCACATCGAAGAGTATACAGCCGCTTAGAAATACCGAGAGCTAGCTTACGACCTGCTGCACAACAACAAGTGTGTACTTCTTTTCGGGGCTTGGGGCCGCTAGAATGTCAACATCGCCACAGCTAATTCGAAGAAATGTCATAGCATCGTCACAATCAAGCGTTCGGATAGTAGAAGTTGCGAAATCAATGAACCCTATCAGCTTAGTGCTATACAGCTTAACAAGGCTTTCATTCTTACCAAATCCATCGCTTTTAAGTATTCGCCCACTATCAGGATGAATGAAAAAATATCCAACAACCCCTTTATAAGACACAATTCGCTTTAGAGTATTTTCAATATTCTCGAGGTGTGTTTTGAGTTCCGCTTCTGATGTGCCTTTGCCTTCCATTTAATAGATGACCCCTTGCTGTAAAGAAAAAAAAACGTATTGGCCTAAGTAAGGAAACGAAGCAATAGTCCCTTTGCAACAGCAGTTAGCTCAAGGAGAAAGCTATGCCTTTTTTTTTTCACTATAAAGGAGAAGGAAAGTGATAAAAATTAGGTCATTGAGCTATTCACTTGTGCACTAGTGATACATAAAAAGAATAAAGAGTGCAACAGCTTGGATCGGCAAACAGTTATGGAACAATATAGAGACTAAAAAGATAGCGGCTAGGATACCGAATTTATATCACTCGTAAAGAAGGTTTCAAAATAATGTGCGTAACAAAATTTCTATTACATTATTTACATGGATGTCCTTTAAAGTGATAATATCTATATTCGCTTACAGACAGCTGTAAAGGAAGGAAACGTTTTTGCACGAAGCCGGTCAACCTCATTCTTAAGTTGCACAAGCTCCTCTTGCTGGGAACGCGCCACCTCTTCCATTTCACTTTTCTGGAAAATCGTTCTCGCCCTGGTGGCAATTTGACTAGGGATGTCCCTATAGGCATCAGTCATGCTCTTCACTGTACGAGCATCTTGAACTGTGCAACGCAATTTTTCCCTTTCAGTGTCTACGAAGCGGTTTTCCGTGGCGTGCTCGACTATTTGCCGTTTGAGCTGTTTGACGTTCAAATTGAGCTGGTCCATCTTCTGCGTCATGCTGAGGTTCACTAGTTGAATATGGTCTCTGATTTTGGCTATCGCTTTTTCCTCTGAGACCTCTTCATCGCCGCACAGCCATTCCTGCATCAAGCGCGTCACACGAAGAGTGTGCAATTGCTGAAGTTCCAATTTAAATGTTCCGGTGCAGTAGTCAAGTCGCTTCGCTTCAAACCTCCGCTTCATATTAAGCTGCTTTCGCTTCACAATCTTGCTCAAGAGCTGATCGCTCTTCGCAGCGCTGGAAAATATGGCCTGGTTGTACTGGTCAACATCAGAGACCCAATGCAAATGTGAGGTATTGAAGTCTGATGTTAGCATCGCCTTCTCATCCTGAATCTGGCCTTGGTGAAGGTGATAAAGGCATCTAATATTTAAAAAGGAATCTAAAAGATCCAAAGGTAGACGTTCCCTCTCAACCTCAAGGACATGCGCAGAGTCGTCAAAGATTACCATCTCCTTTTGCAAATCGTTCAGCAATTCAACCTCCTGTTTATACGGAGCTTGACTTTCTTGGATCTGCACTCGGAGCTGTAGAACCTCCTTTGAACGGCCACAAAATGCAGTCCATAACTCAGGTGGGACACCATCTGGAGGCCGATTCTCACGAGGTAATTCACTCTTTCCTGAGTCGAAGAGGCGTTTCCAGCGCATAAATCGGCGATAGAGTTTTTCACCATGGAGCTCATCGACAAAAGGTTCACAATTACGTACAGTGGAAAGGAATCCTTTTAGCTTTTCTTCCATATCATGAATAGAGGACCGCATAGATGCAACCACTTTTTGTTTTACTTCGATTGCAAAAGATTGTTTTTCCATCTGTCGAAAAAGGAAGGCAATTTTCTCTTGCAGCGCATCGAACTTTTTCAAAGTGTCAAAAAACATTAATCGATGTTGTAACAGCAACACAAGTTTCAAGTCTATTTCATGGAGAGTCTTTGCCGTAGCAGCACGAAGTGAGCGGAGACTTCTCAACTTCAGGTCGAAGTCCGCTGCCAAGGTGCCGCATTCGGCTTGCAATCGTTTGACCTCGCCTCGTAGCTCATTTTTGCGCGCATCAACCGCCTCAGTTTCCTCGCGGAGTTTCGTTTCGTACTGCTCTATTATCTGCAGTTGCTCCTCGGTCCGTTCATCACTCGGTACAAAGGCACTGCTGGATTCATCGGCAAAGCTTGGGAGCGGCACGTTTACCTGCAAACGCTCCACATCCTTCTCAAGACTGTCCATCCATAGTTTCAATGCAGCCTCATTCGACGGCGAAACAATACACGACTCCTGCTTTTTGGGTAAAAAGCATCGAATTTTTCTTCAAGCTCCTCTTCACGAACGGTGAAAACCGTATTTGGATCCTCTTCAAAATCGATGTGTGGTGTGAAAAGTTTAGTGAAGGATGATTCCTCCCCAAGCTGCTTTACAATCCGCAAGCATTGATTCGTTTTCTCTTCGATAACAGAGAGAATGACCTTCTTTTTTTGAAAGATCTCATCATAGCGCTGGTTAAAACCATCTTTGAGGCTCAGCATCACACCTCTTAGAAGAATAGTCTGGAACGCAGCCCTCCCCGTTGTGTAAATCTCGAAGGGAGAGTATAACCTAGAAACATGCCTATTTTGAGACTCCAAAAGCACATTTTTAGCCAACTGTGCCTTTTGGGAAGCATTTTCAGATACTTGTATCGTTCGAGATCCTTGTGCGGCTTTTAGTTGAAGATTGCGCAGAAACACACACTTCTCTGCTAGTCTTTTGTGTGGGCGGATACTCTTTGCAATGTGAAAGTTGTGAACCTCGAGGCCTCCGTTAATACTAACGATTTTTGATCGAACCACCTCCATAGGTGCGCAGCACCGTGCCTTTATGACATCCTGCGTATGTTCGTTCTCCAGGAGTCGATAATACTCTGTATCCTTCGTATTAAACACAGTATTCACGCACTTGTCTTCAAACTGCTCCCGCAGAGATGGGGGAAGAAGACTCTCAGCAGACACCCTGTCGAACCATTCTGGCTGGACAATATTGTTCCATTCTTTCCGAATGTTGCTCAACTTGTCTTGGACCGATCTCTTTAACATATCTTCCCCATCTTTAGATTTCTTTATCGTGACCTGTGGTGCCGTCATCGAAATGTCTGGTGAGCTGATCTCGTATGGGCCTGAACCCGTTCCACGGGAGACCCATTGAGGCTCCTTCCACGCACTAGTCGTCGAAAATGTTGTGGGCGTCGCTTCCAGTATTATTTTGAGGAAACTTGTCTGGTTTCCGACGCACGCTATCGCATCGTCCAGAGCGCAAATGGTGGTGACTCCACCACCTGCAAAGTGACACGCCGTCAATTCCTTCAGTGGCTTGCGTTTTTCCTTTGAAGGCGGTAACGCAGGAAGCCGTTTTTGATAGACACCGATGTCGCGCCAGACAAGGCGCCCGTCCTTTCCGCCAGTGCAAACTGCGGTGGTCCCAACAGGGCACAGGCATCGGCCCCCGGCTGAATGGTCGCGCATGAGGAAGATTGGACGGAGCACCTTGACCGAGTCCTTTTCTTCGCTGCGTCGACTCAGAGCATACACCTTCGTGTCCTTATCGATGGACTCCACCAGGATGTTGATGGCTTCGTCGGACACATAACATGGATGCATCGCTTCCACGGGGAAGTCTAGCCTCCAAGAGCCCTTCAGTAGTCCCTCGGAGGGGTCATCTATATCTATCATTGCCGCTGAGGAAGGGACACTGATGAGAGAAAGCTCCCCATTTGAACTCGCAAGCAGAAAGGCGTTCTCCCCTGGAAGTCCGCAGATCGACTTAATCGTAAGCGAAAAGGTGAAATCACCGATGTTGACAGAGCCGCATGGGCGTAGGCTTGCTTCCGTACAATGGAAAAAATATAGGACTTCTGGAGTAAAGCAGACTAACGTTCCTAAATCATTTACGGTGCATCGCAACTGGACATCACTAGTGGTTGATATGGGCACATGATCCAAATTACCCCCATTCAACGGATCCTTGTAAAAGATACCATCCCGAGAAACAAGCACAAGTTTACCGGCTGCTGTAATGCAAGAGTCGATAATTTCGCCCCTTTCAGCTTCCCGTACAGGCTCGCGCCACTCACATACCTCATTTTTGTGAATAAAAAGTGTGAAAAGCATGCCGTCCCCAGAAACACAAACAACACCTTGATTTCCTTTTAGGGCATGACATTTTTTTATGGGTTTATGCAACTTCTGTCGTATAGAAAACATACCCCAGTTATTATCTTCTTCAATACATCGGTAAACCCCAAGGCCAGTCGATATAATTAGCTCGCAAATGGAACCGGTGTTTTGCGCTAGTGAAAAGATTGTCGTGTGTTTGCCAATGGAGGGTACTTGACAACAAGGGGTTACCTGATAATTGGGCGCAGTGCCGGAAAGTCGAAGGAGAAGCCCGTCGACTTGAAACAAGAAGATATTGTCTGAGGAATTGTCAAGAACCAAACCTGACACTTCAGAACGGCAGAAGACCACAACTGACAATGCCTCTCCAACAGGATCAAGGAAAGAAACCTTACCCGATGCAAATCCAAAGAGTATCCCTTTTTGTGTAACACATCCACATGTAATCGTGTCGTCGATGTTCCCATGGGATACACATTGGGTATAGTCACTTTCGGTTTCCTTAAGTGTGTATACCTGGATACAATGCTCACCCCAGAGAATCACATCAGAACTTGTGCCACGAAACTTGCCAAATAGTAGGCCGCTAAAAAACGTGTCTGCTAAATTAATTGTTTTCGAAATAGCAAACATACCGTTTGCACCCGAGGAATTTAATATCTTGACCACGCTAGACGGGTAATTGCAGAGCACAAGCAGGGCTGTTTCGTCATGCAAATAGGCAAGTTGTTGTACTTCTACTTGAGCAATGGAGGGGATCTCACCAATCTTTCGAAGCTTTGATACTCTGAAAAAGAGAAGAGCAACGGAAAGAGACTTTTTTGATACACAAATGATCCCTGACTTTGGCGCGATTGCTATACACGTGACCTCATAAAGTCCTTTATCGGGCTGCCATTCGCATGAATTTCCATCTACCGAAGTTATTGCGACGCTGTTGCCGCATAGAGTATAGACATGCCTCTCAGAATCAACAGCAAAATTTGTCGAAGAAGAGCCGAGGATCATCCTAACTATTGCAGACTTTTTTTTTTAGATGTTAAAGGAATGTGGTAACCGAATTAAATAATAATATCAATAACAGAAATTTAGGGAGTGAATAGAAAAAAAAGGGAGAAATAATAAAATAGGGAAAAGGCTTCATGACGCAGATGAACACAAAGACCTATGCAAAAACTGAGTACGATATTAAGTTTAATGAAACCTAAAATTTAGATTGTTTGAATGCAACTATATACAGAAATGAATGAAATAAACAAGAAATACACAAGATTTATGAAATATAAAGGATTCTAGGCGAGTTTTATTATGCAGCACTAAGACACTTTTTGAGTGTATTAATCCAGTCCTCCATATTTTGTTGAGAGTTGGACTCAAACCACATTGACTTTCCGCCAGTAGTATTAAGAGCAAATACAAAATTTTTTTTACAAATACTAAGTGGGACTGGACACAAACTTTGTATCTGCTCTAAGCCTAGAGCTTTCCCCTCTGTGTCCGTCTCCGAGTCGGACAAGATGAGACATCGCTTTTGAATCTGCAGGTAGCGCCGCTTCCATGAATGGTTTGTGTCGCCGCCTTTATTTTTTTTAACATAGCCTGTAAACGTGATACCCGTATTAATTTCAGTGTTTTCCACATTCTTTGAACCCACTCCTGTCTCTAGGCTCTTAGATGAAAGAATTTCCCTCACGTGTGTGATTAAGGCCTCCTTTACAGGATCTGCAATGCGTGAATTCTTCTTGATGGTATGCATAAAAACCTTGAGGCCCTCGTAAATATAAGGAAATCTAAAGATATCGTGAACGGTAGGGCGCTCACTCGCATCACTTACAAGAATCTGACGCACTACATCTCTGAACTCCTGAGAGAAGTTTTCTGGAAGCAAGTCATAATCGACATTAAGTATCTTGGCCATAAGCCCCTTCATATTAGTGGAGTTAAATGGTCGCTTCAATGCCATAATCTCATACAGTACAACACCCAAAGACCATATATCGGCCTTCTTACTGTACCTTTGGTTGCTCCAAAGTTCAGGAGCAAGACAATAGGGTGTCCCACAAAAGGTGTTTGCCACAACACCCGATACCGTATCATCATACTGGTGGCTAAAGCCGAAATCACCTAGTTTGATGAGTCCTGTCGATGTTAAGAGCACATTTGCGGACTTGATGTCACGGTGTAGCATCTTACGACTGTGAATATGATCAATGCTTAAACAAAGCTGAATAAACAAAAAGAGAGCCTCATGCTCCTGAAAGTACCTGAAGTTTACGGCCCTTCGCTTTATTTCTCGGTCCAGATCGCCTGAGTCAGCAAATTCCATTATAATAAGAAGCTGATCATTTTCTTTAGTATCTTCAATGTACTTAATAATATTGGGGTGATCATTGTTTGACAGGCATTTAATTTCACTGTATGCGTAATTACAATCACGGGATGACATTCTGCTAAGATCGACTGTCTTGGCTACAAAGATTTGCCTATCCAAAGATCGTTCAACTAGCCAGGCCTCGCCAAAGGATCCAGTACCAATCAACTTTCTTTTTTTGTACTTGTAGTCACCCTCAATTCCTGGAGGACCCAGAATTGTAGTAAAAGCGGTGTCGGTCATTGTCAATAAGTGTTAAAATTAATAAATAAAAATATTTGTTTAGTCTTGATATGACAAGCTCTAAAAGCTATCTGCTAAATGACAACATACAGGATACCAAACTAAACATAAATGAAACAACCCCCAGCGTGTTGATCATTTACATGTGTAAATAAAGACTATAAACAAGTAGTAAACATTTCTAAACCGCTTAATACAAAAATGTATAAAGCCACCTAGAAGGAGGTTGAAATAACAAGTACATAGAGAGTAGTTGGGTTCAGTCTGTTTCGATGTGCTATAGTTTTAAACCATCATTGCAATCGATCAAAATGAACTTTACGGCAAGCCGTGACACAAGCTGCAAGAGACCGTCAACATAGAAAATACTGAATTGCGGATTAAAAAGTGTCCATGCGTGACATAAAGTCTACCAATAGCACAATTTTTCAGGACATGTACAGCAATTTCCACACATAGAAAACAAACGGAAAATATGATTTTTAGTATAATCATCTCAGTCATTTTCGCTATTTGTCGATGTTTTCGAAAAAAGAAAGCATATCACCTTTTCCAGTGAAATATATATATATTAATTAGAATAAAAACAAAGATGCAATAAATTCAAGGATTTATCTGCAAGCCCTATGCAACTGCTCATAGCAGAAGAATTAACTCAATACATATATATATATATATATATATGTTTAAAGGGTAAACCTCCTTTAAGGTATTTACGCGCTAGCATTTATTCTACAAGATTCGTTGGTAAAATTAAAAATAAATATTTTGCAAAGAAAACCACCGCAGCAGCTCATGCGTGTGCTAATATCACATAAGAGACCTTGATGTGGTGGCGTGCTGTGGCTTTCTTACGGGCGATGAATCTAGCCATTTCTTGACCTGCATGCTGAATTTTTCCCTTTAACAGCACCCACACTAGTTGAAGAGGGCAGTATAACGGGCTATGGACAAATAAAACCCCGATACTATCCCATCCAAAATCTAATTTAGTGTTTTTGCTAAGAGTCCATGCTAAATAGCGTACGTGACAGCTCCTTGATAAGGTCCAATAACTATGCAGATAGGTATAAATGAAAAACCTTGTGATAGATTTTTGGGAATTCCATCACACATCAAACGTTGCACAATATTCAGGGTATTTTCAGTAAGTGCTTTGTGAAGGTCCTTTGCGCGGAGGTCGCGCCACTAGATTATTATTGGAAAGCGTTGTCCAAATTACAGTGAAAGATAATTTGACATTAAATACAACAACCCCCTACCCCAGATGCAGTTATTTAACTATCTTGCGAAATTTATCCTCACGGTGACGAATGACCTTAGAAAATAAAAGCTAAACCCTTGAAGTTTCCGTGGGATTTTGAGAAACAAACCACACGGTAGTGCGCCGCCCCCAATGTGCTCTGAAAAAGATGGTTAGGGGGGGGGGAATAAAACCATTTAATAAAACAGGACTTCGAGAATACGGATGTCAAATTGAAAAGTGAAATTATTGAATTTTGAATTAAACCGATTAAATATTCCATAACAGGCTAAATATGAATAATTTACCCCTGAAGATTTAAAGTTAAAACAAGAGACATCAAAAATTTCCCATCGGTAATCAGAGGGCCGCGTCCCCCGGAAACAAGCTAGGCTATATTTCGAATGCTCTAAGTTAAATTTTGATATGAAACTGGAATGGATTGCAGTTAGAAAATAAAACAGATCAATATTTTTTTTAAGTTTATGGGACGGTGAATTCTCGGTGGGGTTTGCCTTTGGGATAGCCTCCTCTTTTTTGATTCGCGTTAAGGCAAAACTTTGAAGGTTGTACCTCTTTAAAACGGTGATTTGTGAGTAAAAATAAACTAAACGGTTATATCTGATAAATTTTAACAAATTCATTAGGAATATTTCAAAAACGAAAGTTTAAACAACTTTATGAGCATCGATGAAAAAGTCTGAGAATCATTGGCCCAAAACCAAGTTAAAAAATCGATATTGACTTGTTGAATTTTAATTCAGAGCGGTCGTTCTTAACTAAAATTCAAATTTGGCTAACCAATATTCGAAGCGTTGGTGGAGGAAATATTGGAGGAATCCCGCCCTAGGATGATGCTTGGCGATGGTTTTTAAAGTCCCCCAACGTCCTCAGCGTGTGCCATCCATCGGTTCAATGGGAAAATTCCGCCACCGATATAAAGCTTATGCAGCTCTAGTTTGGCCGATTCGCATCGTTATAAAATACCATTTTTGTTCAAAAAATAATTCTTAACTCTTCGGGACTTCCGCAAATACCATGTGAGATTGAACATGCTGAGCCAAGAGCTGTCAATCGGCCCCGGTTTAGCCATCAAAACCCCCCAAATCGGCCGAAAATTTCATCCCGATGGTGGAATTATAAATATACCATTTTATGAGGTGGTGTTCCCCAGATTGGATGTTAAATTTTGGATTGTGATATTATTGTTTTCTCCCATTTTGCCAATTTCAAATGAAACCCGATATATTACCGAATGGGTTTTGGGGATTTTTGAGCCCCATTATCCATCAAGGTAAACCCTTTTTGGTGGTTTTTACCATTATTCGTCAGAGGCCCATTCGTATAGCAGCGAGGGGGATCTTTGGACGCAAGTAAAATAAATGAAAACACGATCCTTAGGTTGCTCATGCGGGGCTCTTTTTTGAATGATGTTGATCGGCGGAAAAAGAGAAGTCCTCATTAAAGTGTCTTCAGGGCCAAAACGCCAATAAGTTTACAAGGGCGCTAAAAGCTCATATCCTTCACTTTTCTGCGATCTTTGAAGCTATTTTAGGAAATTTGGTTCCACAGACATTTATTTCTATCTCTCCCGAAAAGAAACTACCACGAAGCTTATTTTCATCGATGGATGGATAAATCAAAAATTCACTTGTTTGTTCTTCATCCACGAAGTGTATGAGTGTTAATTCCCTCCTCCCCCCCCGCCAATCAATGCGTTAAAAACGATCACGGTATGAAAGTTCCATAAATCTGCATCATTCACATCTTGCTTGATTGTTATCCTTCGGCGTTTTTTAAGACATCCGGAGATATAAATATTTAACAAAGCACCTGCTTTTTTTCGAAGTGGATGTGCCCGATCTCTTTTATCAAAAGCCTAAAAAACAGAATTTGGGTTTTGAAGGTTAATTTTATGTTGCAATTTTAAAATTATCAGATAAGATGAGACTGATTTCTATTTACGACGCGAATTTAAAGTTTATTCTAAAAATGGTGGCATATTTTTTATGTGTAGAATATATTTTTCCCAACAATGGCAATAAAAACGTACTTGGGGAAACTATCTATAAAATGGTAATTTTTCTTTAAAATTACGATAGCCAAACAATGCATCTAAAAGTTTGAAGGCCAATTTGGGTAACCCCATCCCCTTTAAATGAACCTTTGGCGGGGGGCTGTCTGAGTTTTTAAGGGGGATTTAAATAAAATTCCGCTTTTCATATGGCTTCCGTTTAAGCGGCCGTGATGAATGAGAAGTGTGAATTTAGATTCTTCTATCTATAAATGTTCATATTTCTTTTATTTTTTTGTTAACTGACATTTTCTCCCTCACAGAGTCCCAAAATAAACACCAATGGGGGATTATCCGAACTTCATCGTGAAAGTGGAAAGGAAACACTTGAACGTGCTTGATGCATTCAACTGCCGCTAAAGTATGAATAAAAATAAACCGAACTTTTTAGAATTCAACATGATCTTTTTCGCCGTGGCTTGAATCTCTATTATTGACGTTTTTTTTTCAAGAATAATACATGGTATTCGCATTTCCATAGCAACAGGGCTTGGCATCCAGTAAAAAGGTTTCTTAGACAGGCACAATTCTGAAATAAAAGTTTGAGTGGGGTGAACTTTTGTCTTATCATTATAGTTTAATAAAGGTGGTGGAGGGGGGTGTTTCCCAACCAGTTTGGAACGCAGAGTGGGATTTTAAACTCAAGAATTTGTCGGTTAAGATGCAAAAAACACCGATGAGTGGCAAGTTTTATTTCATTTAGTTTTGATGCACCAACATCGCCACCTAACATGTCTTGGCTATGTTGTCGCCTTTTTTAAGTTTCACATTCTATTTTCGGTGGAAGTATAAGTGCCCACCCGCCATAGAAAATCGATTCCACACCTTTATCGATCTTTCCTTTTAGTTTAGGCGTTTGCTTGGTGGAATTCGGCTTGTGGTGGATTTATTTTCGTTTTCAATGACTGAACTGTTAACAAAAATACCAAATTATGACTAAGCACTGTTAAAGTTTTCATTTCATGGATACTGCAATGAAGTTGGGAGGCATAATTTTGGCTTTTGTTTGGGAACCAATATTGGTGGTGGATGGTATGGGGGTTGGGATTTTGATCAGGGTTGGGGTTAAGACTGGCCCGGGGGTTCATCACAAATATGGGTATCATATCCAGTTCTTGATTCTATAATTAATGCCCTGATGGTTGGGGTGCAATGTTGTGAAAACAACCAGGCCAATAATAGAGCGCAGCATCATCCCCACCTAGTTTTTATAAATTTTAAGAAGTCCCCCACCATCAGACTTCACAGCATCAAGATCCAATATGTCCTTCATTTTTTTGAGTTACATGGGTGTATCCTGATTTTATATTT